AGTACTCCCCTTAACGCTGGGGGCCGCGTATCGCAGGTTTTGGGTTCTTCTCCCGAAGCACTACAAGGCCGTCGCTAGGAGCGCACCTATCTGCTATTTGGGATATTCCTAACCAATCTCCTTCACCCTGGAGTCCGGGTGCCCAATGGGACTTTTTGCACTAACGTGCGAGAGAGTAATGAGAGCGAGTCCTAATGTAACAACCAAGAGTGATCTACTCCGGCGCACACAGAACACACTAAAGTGGAGATGAAGTTTGGGGAGTGGTTACCCCTTGAGCTGCAGTCAGTTAGTTGGTATACAACAGGTTATTTGTACACAGCTGCATATATCACAGCACGCAGCCCAGCATCAGGACTCCATGAAAAGACCCCATATGAAATACTGTTTAAAAGGAGAGTTGATCCAACTTTGTTTTGCCCTTTCGGATGCCAAGCATATGCCTTGATTCCGAAAGACAAAAGGCAAGGGAAGTTTTACTCCAAGGGGCGCAAAGCCATAATAATTGGCTACACACATGGAAAGCAAGCCTACAAACTCCTAAACACTGAAAAATGGACTGTGTTTTCCAGTCGGCATGCCATATTCAATGAATCCGGAAAGGTACAAAAGGACAACACTGCTCCGTGGAACACAGACACTAGCACAGATCAGTGGGAGGGACTCATTCCAGAGAATGCTCACTATCCAGACCAAAATACATTGGAGGAGGATAATCCTGACCCTTGGATCCAAGATCCAAATGAATGGCAAATGGAACCACATTTCCAAGGAGGTGTTCCACAAGCAATGGAACCATATCAGCATGAAGGTATTCCAAGAGCAGTGGGGCAATACCTCCGTGGAGACGTTCCAAGAGCAGTGGGAGCACCTGACCAGCTAAGACACCCTCCACAACAGTCTCTACAACCAAGACCTGAACACTGGCCATCTTCGGAACGGAAAGCCAAAGTAGAGTTACAGTCAGTGGGAGGACAGCCCCTCAACATACAGCCAGCTGATGAGGAAAAAGTCCGAATACAGCTAGACAGCTTGTCCATTGGATCAGCTTCTGGAAGGCATACAACACCTCCAAGGAGTCATCCAACACCTCCAAGGAGTGATTCAACACCTTCAGGAGTGAGTGGGGCAACAAATACACAAATGTGTCTACTCCCTGGAGTATCTTCCAAGGACACTAAAAGAAGCCTTATCACGTCCGGATGGAGAATTATGGAAGTCTGCCTTGGAGGAGGAACTCCTAAGTCTCAATACTAATGCAGTATATAACACTGTTCCACTTCCAAAGGGAGTAAAACCTATCACATCAAAACCTGTGTTCCGGATCAAGTTTGATCAAAATGGAAACATTGAGAGATACAAACTCTGGATTGTTGCACAAGGTTTTACTCAAAGGGAGGGGATTGATTACCAGGAGGTTTTTGCTCTGGTTGCAAACTTAGAGTCAATCCGAATTATTCTAGCCCTGGCAGCAAAGTACGACCTAGAACTTGATCAAATGGACGTATCCACAGCTTATCTCAATGGAGAACTTGAAGAAGAACTGTACATGCTTCCTCCAGGGGTGTTCCTATCCAACCTGGATACTGCTGGAGATTGAAGAAATCCATCTACGGGTTGAAACAAGCTGGACATACATGGAACAAAACTTTTGATTGCAAGCTCCAGGAGCTCGGTTTTACAAGACTAAATGCAGAACCATGTCTTTATGTATTCCGGGACAACAAACAAATATGCTTTGTTGTTGTCTATGTAGATGACCTCCTCCTAGGAGCTTCATCCCGACAATTCATGGATATCACAAAAGCCAAACTCGAATCCATATTCAAAATGCGGGACCTTGGAGAAGCAAAATACATCCTCAGAATAGAAATCCAACGTGATTGTTCAAACAAAACAATATTCCTATTGTAACGCCAATACATTGACACAGTCCTAGAGCATACTGGAATGAAGAACTGCAAACCAGTATGGACACCAATGGACCATGGATCAAAACTCCTTGCAAATGCTCCAGGGGAAGATATTATGCAACACGAGATGCATATTGAAGAGCGTCAAGTGTCATACCTCTCAATTGTAGGCTCCCTCATGTATGCCATGCTCGGAACCCGCCCAGACATTGCCTACGTTGTTGGAATACTAAGCAGGCATAGCTCAGCTCCAAGGAGCCATCACTGGGAAGCTGCAAAATGTGTCCTCCGATATCTGAAAGCAACCAGGGACATGGAAGTACAATATGATGGCACATCAGGCTTTGTTTTTATCACCATCTGAGGAGCAATCTCCTGGACAAGCAAAAGACAAAGCATGGTCGCTTTATCCTCCACAGAGTCAGAGTACATTAGATTGAGCAATGCTGGACAACACCTTGCATGGCTTCGGACATTTTTTGAAGAAACTGGACATGCTCAAAATGGACCTACAACATTGCACTGTGACAATCAAGCAGCTATCATTCTTACACGAGATCCACAGTTCCGTTGTCGATGATGAGAACTGTTGTTAGAAAACCACACACAAAAACAAACTAACAAACAATCCTCCCAGATTCCACGGAACTTGTTTATGGGCTTTGCCTCCTAGAACAGTGGGTGCTCTGGTTGTTCGTGGGGTGGTATGTATGAAGGTCCTTCAAAGTAAAACCCAGAGAGGTATGGGTGTGGGTTTTGAGAAGGAGGGATAGTTGAATTTATAGAAGATGGGGGCTTAATGACGAGTATAGATGAGCACTACCTTGCTAATCGTAGCACAAAGTAGGTTTGAGAATGATAAAGATGACGAGGTGACGAGGTTCCCAGTGATAGCAGGCTCCTGACGCACAAACTATAGTGCTCAGAAGGACTCTAATTGAAAGGGATGACAGTGACTTTCAAAAATGACGAGTGACGATGACAGCAGATAGCAGTGGTAGCAGTGGGAAGTATTGTGACCACACTGGATCACAAGTAGCAGAGTAGCAAACTTGAGATTTAGAGAAGAAGTCTGGATTTGAGTTCTTTGTTGTTTTTACAAGGTAAAATACAGGGGTTTATATAGTGAAAAGAAAGGCAGGCTATGCACAGTATAGCTGCGCAAAAAGAATGAGAAAGAACATGAAGGAAGGAATGTACGCTGACGAATCCTGCGTAGTTGCTACAGGATAAGATCATCAAAATAAGGGAAAGAAAGGGATAGAACAATGAATGCTGTGAGTAAAGTTACAGGTTTGTACAGCCATAAAGTAAAGTCCAATAGCAAAAAAAGAGCAAGAAAATCATGATGTCATGGGAAGATGCAGTAAAAAAAGGGCAAGGAAAAACACTATTCCACGTGGCACTGTGCCTGTGTGGCGCAAAGGCGAGTCTTTTCGAATATTCGCTTCGTTATTGACACCTGTCCATGCTACCAATCAATTTTGGTGCATGACAGCGCTATTTAGAACTGCAGAGCAGATGAAGGACAGGGCAGAGCGTAGACGCTCTAAGGCCCCTGACTACAAGGTCGGCAACCTGGTCTGGTTAGATACCGACCATTTAAAGTTAAAAGACTGGCAGTCTAGAAAACTGACCGAAAAGTGGATTGGCCCTTACCGGATTAAGGAAGTCAAACCTAATGCGGTGAAGCTGGAACTCCCAAAAAGAATGAGGGTGGTACCCACAGTTAACATTAGCCGTGTGAAACCCTACAAGGGACCGCTGCCGGGACAGCGAGTAGACCGGCCCGGACCGGTGATAGTCACCCAGGAAGGTGAAGAAGAGTTCGAAGTTGAACGAGTGGTAGATGCACGCTTGAAGCGTGGAAAATTAGAGTTCCTGGTTCTATGGAAGGGCTATGGAGACAAGGACAGAACATGGGAACCAGAAACCCATCTGGAAAACTCCTGCGACACTGTCCGCGAATTTTATTCTAGGAATCCCTCAGCTCCCAGGAAGGTTAGAGGCATGGATTCGAAACTTTTTAATTCTCTTTTCCAACCAATGCCCGAAAATTTTACTACTACCTCAGGTATTTGGTCTCGCCTGGAAGTCGAGCCTTAGAAGGGGGGTAGTGTTACGGTAACACAATTTCCGGACATCTCCTTTCCCTTTTATTCTCCGCTTTAACTTTATACCTTAAATGCCACGCGGCATTTCCCTTTCTCGCGCCGCGTTGCCTTCCTTTTATTTTTAGACTTAACTCTCTCACGCAGTGGAGCTGGCCATACGGGCTAGGCCCTATGACATCATCAAGCCACTGCCTTCATCAACTGTATAGTACACATGTACAAACAACCTGTAGTAGTATATATACCCCAATAGATTCAGGAGACTCCTCAGCGAGTCCTCCTGTTGTACACCAACTAACTCACTGCAGCCTTAGGGGTAACCACTCCCAACTTCATATTCTCTATAGTGTGTTTCTGTGTGCGCCGGAGTAGATCACTCTTGGTTGTTACAATATTCTCCTCCCCCATTGCTCCGGAGGAATTCTGTGTATAGTGGAGTGAAGTTTTCCTCCCCCAAATGAGTCCGGAAGAATGTTTGGACATCTTCTTTCCATTGCTTGTATTGTTTTAGTGCTTCACTTTTATGTTTTAGGAAATATATCCATGGAAATTTGGAAAAATCATCTACAATGATAATCCAGTACCAAAAACCCTCCCTGGAAGTTGGTTTGATTGGTCCTCCAACATCTGTGTGCACAATTTGTATGGGGCGCTTGGCTCGGTTTCCTCCAGTGGACTTGAAAGGTAATTTCTTCATCTTTCCTAAAGCACAAGGTTCACAAAACTCTGGGGTTCCGGTAAGGGTGTCTATGTCCTGGAGCTGTCCTTTTGTAACCATTCGTTGCAAGCGGTCCACTCCAATGTGTCCCATTCTCCCTGTGCAATCAATTTACATCTACTGCTGCAAAAGCTGACTCCGGGTTGATTTCAGGTTTTGCTTGGACGTGATAAAGTCCTCGCTTGTGTAACGCAGTGAGGATAAGTTCCTCCTTTTTCCAAACTTCACAAGCATTTGACCCTGCTGGAAAAAGTGTTAATCAGGGGCCTTCCCTGACTGTCGTGCAACTTCTGCAGTGATCTGGATCTCAACTGCATCAAAGGTAAGTTTATTTTCTTTAATCGTGTTGATTACTGATGACTGAAATATTTGCCATTCAGGAGTGCATGGGAGAGATTGGAGAAGAGCGAAAGCCATGAGTTTGGTATCAACTCCTAGTTTCATTCCGGAGATGTGTGAATCAATTGTCTGGATTTTTGCAATGTGGTCCTGGATAGGTAATGTCCCATCCTAGGACAATTTGGTGAGTTGCTGGAATGAATAGAAGGCCAATGTAATGTTGGATGTTTGATGGAGTGAGACAAGTTTATCAAATAACTCCTTGGAGCTGGTGAGGTCTCCAGTCCTCATTAGGAGAGCATCAGAGATGTGGTCCTGGATGATTTCATGTGCCTTCTCATCCTTAAGTATCCAGGTGATCTCAGGATCCTCCGAGGAGGTAGGTTTTCCTGGTGAGGGCTTAAGCTCCTCTCCAGTAACAACCTGGAGAACATTTTCCCGACATAGCTTTGAGATGATCCGGAGTTTCCATATCTGAAAATTGTTGGGTCCAGTGAGAACTGGACATGCGGATGTATCACGTGCTGTGGTCATGGTTCCAAGGTTGCCGTTTCAAATAAGAATTATTTCCTGTCTAGCTTTTGTGCACCAGGGCTCATAAAATAATAACACTAAGTGAAACTCAGCCGCTGCCTGAGAGGCTACAATAGATGTTAGTTTAAGGTGATCTCTAATAAATGTAATATAACATACCTCAGCCGCTTCCTGAGAGGCTATAGAAACGACTGAGGTATTCCTATGCTAAACCCCCTACTACTTATAGTCGGAGGTGCTACTCGCTACAGTATAATGACTTCTAGGAGTATAATTGTGCTCCTAAGAGAAAAATGGTTACTCCATGGAGAACAATGGCTGCTTTGGCAGAGATTGGGTTTATCCGGTTTTGTCAGGTGCTCAGGGTTCTTGGATACAGAGATGGCAGATTGGTTGTCAATATGAAGGGTGAAAGGAGAGGTGATAGGATAACCCATTTCCTTCAACAAATTTTGCATTCAGCTGACGGATCAAGTTGAATTGCATGGCCATGGGATCCATTTGCTTTGGCCGCGACGAGTTTCTTACGGCCAGGACCAGGGGCGGAGGTTATCATGATTTGAGTGGGAGCCTGAGAGTCGCGTTGTGGGTGATGATTGCCTGTTCCCGATAGCTCAGAATAACCCATGCGGAAGGGGCCACTAACAGGTTGTCGTATCTCAGACAGAAAAGGAGAAATTGGATGCGCACTGTGAATCATACCGCCAGAAGTAGTGATATTGGGGATAGAGAGGTTTCCTGCTTCGTCACTACTCAGGCTCACAATTTTCGGTGGCGATTGGCGGGGGGAAATTGGCAATATGGAAGGTGACCGAGGCGGAGAATCGATGCGCATCCTTTTGACCCTTTTCTTACTTCCTTTTGTAT